ATTTTTCTCCACTCTTGAAGAAGAGGGCTAAGTTGGAGATCCTCCTACCTGAGACACGGGATGCTTTCTTCCCATATGTTGGTAGGAACTGCACCAGTCTATGCAGGAACCTATTCGTAATACAAGTTCAGATTTGATGCTGACTTATCCAGTTGGGTTGAGCATGGCCCCTTCTTTTTGATCAATATTGGTTCAGTACATTGTTCATGGAAGAGGGTCCATTGTCTCCTTGTAATTCCAAATGCAGAGTAGTTCTATCTTGGGTCCTTGGTTGAGCACTGTTTGTATTAAGTCCTTCCCATAATTTTGGGGCAAGTGGAATTACCTTGCCCATATGGTTGGGGAGGGAGGATATATGTTCATAATTCCAGATGGAATGTGTTCTGTTTCCTCAGGTTGACTGTGGCATACAGGATCCTTTCATTCCAAGTTTGGGGTGTGGCCTTTCAGACTTTTTCAGGTTGAGGAGAGAGTTTGTCCACTTCGGTGTTGCTTACCTTCTCGTTGTGATTCTGGTGGCTTGGAACACATCTCTCTATAACTACAGGTTAGAATACACTCACAAATATATCTAATAAGGTCCAAATGCCCTAGTCACCAGTGTGGGATTTAAGGGCCATGGCCCTATAATTCCAACCGTCAGCAGTGGGACTTCAGCTACCTGGTTCGGGCCTGGCCAGTGATGATGATGGATCATGTCAACTTCCATCTGTGGTGCATGATTTAAGTTTCGTTTGAAGATCATACATGTTCTGGATGTAGTGCAGTTCCCATACTAGGGTCCTAATCTTATTCTAGCATGACTGCAATTTATGCAGACACATTTTATATAGATAATGCCCTCACTGGCCTCTTCCCCCTCATCAATATGCAGACTCTAAAACTGGCTCTTAGTAGGAAGGAACGGCAGGAGGAGAGTGTGAGTGGAGGTAAGTATGTTTGGAAGTTAACATTTTCTTAAATTGAAAATGTATATCCAATAATGCTTACCTCCTATCACACTCTCCTGCCATTCCTTCCTACTAAGAGCCAGTTTTAGAGTCTGCATATTTGGTCAGTCTCGAAAAAGTGACAATATTATCTGAAGAAGGTGCTTATATATACAGTATCAAGATAGATGGTGCATTGACATGGGTGGAGAGTGTCACGAGACAGATATGGCCAAGGGCAATTATGTGTGGAATAAAAAAACTGGAGAAAGCATAGAAAAAATCAGGCCATTTGCTAAAATGGGCAAAGGAAAAGAAACCCTAGCAATCAAGTAACAGCTATTGTGTGAGAGGAGGTAAGTATTATTGGAAATACACTTTCGATTTAAGAAAATGTTAGCCTGAGTAGCATTGGAAAACTTAGGAATATGTATCAACTTGACGACCCAGGACTATCCAGAAAGAGACTTGCAACTAGTCATACCCCTGCCATGATGAGCAGTGTGTGGTATCTAATAACAGATGAGAATCCCTGAACAAAATTATCAGTAGAAAATGCCGTTCATGCTCCCCAGGCAACAGTAAGCAACATAATCAAGAAGAATCTCAATTTGGAAAAGAAATGCAAGTTGTTTTCTGTGGCATACCTCAAGCAGCTGAAGAAAGAAATAGAAAGACATACTGGTTATATCACTGGATAAAGCCTATCAATGTCTGTGTGATTGGACTGTTGAAATGGGTGTTGAGAAACTGTGGTCTTCATACATTAGATAGATTATAGAAAGCCAGCAGGAAGGAGGAGTGTAATTTGAACATGATAGCTGTATGGAGCATTTGGCAGTGTGGATTATCCTGCAACTCTATTGTCAAGATGCATGTTTGTCAGATAGAACATGAGCAGATGTGACATCAACTGTAATGACCTAATGATGTTCAAAAATTCTTTTAAAATAATGTAATCAATGTTTGTATGTATAAAAAATTATTCTCTTGTCAATACTTTGCATATTTACCCTTTGGATTTGTATGTTAGTTTTCTTTTTATTATCCATTCTGTTATCATTTCTGTATGAATGGTATTTTATATGATTTATGAAGTATAAGATGTTTGAAGTATGTTTTATATGTACCTATGTTTTTAATCAAGGATTGATTTTCCTTTGCATATATTCTATATTTGTATATTTCAATTATATATTTAAAGGGTTTTTAATTTATACCATGTAAATAGAGTTTATTTTTATTTTGTGATTCTTGTGTAGTTAGGTGTTATGTGCAGTTTGTGATAGCGAAGACATTTGTCATATATACGAGTCTTGTGGACACATAGTTCATTAATGCATTTCCATGTTTTGCACTGTGTGCAATTCTGTTGCATCCAGTCTGAACAAGAATTGTTATTTCATATAATTTTATCTGGTTGCATCGTAAATTTTCAATTTATTTTAAGAAGAAGGTGATTGAAATGATGTGTTATGTTTAGACTTTGGTGTTATTTTCTGTAGCAAGGCCTGATAGTGGAAGCTGTTTTTAATTTCATAGGATATTTTTATTGTGTTCTTACCTTGTGGACTGCTTTACAACTGTCACCTGAATGTTTTTTTGTGATCTGTATTTTTGATTAGACAGTTGAAAGGTAAAGGTGAGTTTTGAACACGACTTTGACATTTTGAAACGCATGGTTTCTGTTTTAAAGGATTAAATATGTAATATTGAAATTTTGCTTGTGTGTTTTAACATTTACATCATTACATTTGCATATAATTTTTCTAAAATCATCAGTTCACCTTTAAGTACAGTTTATTTGTCTCCTTCTTAAGGAGGGAGGGAGACATTTTCTTTCTTTCTTTCTTCTTTTCAACATGTACGATTGTGAGTTGCTCTTGTTTTTGGGCTGATTGTTTTGAAACTTGGAGGACATGCGTATTGGTCCAATATGCCCAGATACTTTTTTGATATTGATTGCAGTTCCAGCTTTAGGGGTCAAAGGTTAAACATTACAAAAACACATTTTGGCTTGCAGTACCCTTGTTTCAATCAATCCAAATAAAGCTTAGCACAGAGATACAGTGCAGCAACTCGCATAAAATGAAACAGACAGAAATAAGATTTGTACAATTCTTGCAGTTTTAGAGGGTGTCAAAGGTCAAGAAATGTGTACTAAGTTATGTCTGTCATTCCACTTACTTTGACCAGTCTAGATGAGACTTTGCACAACAATCAATACCTTGTGACAGTTTCCTTGTACTGAAACAGATAGATCTAGGATTTTTGTCTTTCTTTTGATTTTACAAAGGTTAAAAAAAATTCTAATGTATATAATTGGGAGCTCTGAATATATTTAATCATTATAAAGAGCTGTTATTAATTATTAATAGCTTTTTATTCACATAATGCACAAAACTACATTATGGTGTCTAAGAACCAGTCTTATTTGCCATAAAATCACTTCTAAAGTTTTTATCATTATGAATCTATTTATACAGAAACTGCCTGTCCTATTGTATTATAAGGTCATAATTTAATATGCTTCAATATATATATTTCTCACAGGGAAGTGTAACGTTGATACTGTGATAAGTGTATTAATCTGTAGTATATATGTTGTTGTTTATGCCCCCCTTTCTTTGATTTGTCTACCATTCTCTTTTAAAATCTACTGTTATCTGAAGATATTATCAAACAAGAAAGATTGGGGGAAGACACTTGCATATGCTGCCTTTAATTTTTTATTTATTATTTAAAAACAATTACTTTCATGTGCTTCTTATTATAATACTTTATTTTATACAGTTACTGCACATCACAAAACAGTGATACACTAAATGATTAGCCAATTTTTTCTTTTCTTTCGTCAATCAAGTCTTGCCTTTTCTATACCATCTACTACAAAGCATTACACCTGTCTTTCCACATATATTACGTCTTTAAATTTCTAGTTGTTTTGGAGATCAGGTAACTTTGTTCTAGGTTTATCGTTGAATTAACACAATGTTTTGAACCTCTTTGTGAGTGTAATATATATTGTTAACATCTGACATGCAGGCTGACCTTATAAAATCTGTTTCAAACCAACTGTACAATGATGTGTAGTACAGCATCACATTCAGTTTCACAGCAGGCCGTAGTTGACATGTAGCAGCTGTCTGAATGTTTTGGGATGATGGCTTTCCTTGTTCATATGTTTTATTAACTGTATCATTAGTTTCACATTCTGTTACACTTCATGATGCATATAGACAACTTGCAGCCTGCTGTGATTAGTCAGCTTCTATTGGTCTAATATCCGTCGAAAAAATTATCATCTAGACATCGTCTTTGAAGTCTAGTCATGGTTCATGAACAGCTTGGAGCATTTTAAACTGTTTGATTCATTTAAAAGTGACAAATAAGAAAGGTTCTACTTAAAATAATGTGAGAAGCAATAAGATTTTTCATATAAAATATATTAAATTTGGTTAATCATTTTGTTCTTTGTTACATACCTGCAACTTGTATATGATGCTCTTCAATCATATTATTTAGAATAATTAAGTTTGAAACTCCTAAATGAGTTGGAAAACAGTGTACACTTTATCCTTAAACACTTAATATAAGAACATTGTACCTTATATTAAAAGACTTAAAAAAAACGAGTGTAGTACTACTTTAACATGTATCTATTTTGATTTTATTGCTAAAAGAAATACACTGTACCAAAGTTTTGCTATACCCTACCCCTTGTTTTGAAGCATTTTTTATTGAGTGTAATGTTTATTATGTTTTATATACTTTGTTTTTATATTTATTTACATTTATTTTAATTGTAAAACAGGTGGTACTATGGGTAAGTTTTATGTTGTGTGTATAGAGCGATGACAATTCTAAATTTTAGTAGAAAGACGAAGTTCACATATTTATGTGAAAAAAAAGGTAACACTAAAATTTGCTTACATTGATAAAATATGCATTTTTTTTCTTCTATTGAATAACAAAGTTTTTCTGATTAAATGACATGGTAACATATGCAATACATGTTATAAACTTGGTAAAAATATTTTTATTTTAATGTTCCTTCTTATGTCTTAACAGGACCAAGCCCCAACAAACATACTAAACAATACACCAAGTTACTATTTGCTGAAGGAGATGACTTGGAAAAATGTTTCATCCGAATAACAGGCATGACTTGTGCATCGTGTGTTGCTGCCATTGAAAAACATTTAACACACTTGGATGGTATAATTCCTGTTTGTTTTTTATTATTTTTGTGATGTACTTGAGGTGAATTAGATGATAGATACTACCTACTATAATGTTATTTTACAAAATTTTAATCTACTCAAAAAATGTTTACTCAATCCATAGCCAAGAGTCCGAATTCCTATAATTGTGATATGTAATTATAGTTGCAAGTCATAATTATTTCATAATGTAATCATATATATCACCATCTGTCTTATAAATATAAGTTATTATTTCAAGCAATAAGATATTTATACTATCAGTTTGATTAAAACAGATATAGATTATCATATTATTTTTGGATAGACATACAAACTATTTCAAAAATTGTTATTACTTATATATGCTTTTGAACAAATTATACCACATTTTTGTAGCAAGCCACAGTAGACGTGTAGCAGCTGTCTGAATGTGTTGGGATGATGGCCTGCCTTGTTCATGTTTTATTAACTGTATCATTAGTTTCACATTCTGTTCCACTTTATGATGCATATAGACAACTTGCAGCCTGCTGTGAATGGTCAGCTTCTATTGGTCTAATAGCTGTCCAAAAAATAATTGTCTAGATGTTGTGTTTGAGGTCTAGCCATGGTTCACTTGTAGCCAAAAAATAATTGTCTAGATGTTGTGTTTGAGGTCTAGCCATGGTTCACTTGTAGCCAAAAAATAATTGTCTAGATGTTGTCTTTGAGGTCTAGCCATGGTTCACTTGGTAGCCAAAAAATAATTGTCTAGATGTTGTCTTTGAGGTCTAGCCATGGTTCACTTGTAGCCAAAGAAATCAGATGAGGATGTTAAAACTCGCTTTTTCTCAATTTCAAACATTTTTTTGTTTGAGCTTTCTAAAAATGTATCATTCATGAACATTTCAAGTAAAAGAAATTTCTGAGGTATACACAGGTTTAGCACAGTTGAATAATATAATTCCTGTTTGTTTTTCATTATTTTTGTCATGTATTTGAGGTGAATTGGAGGATTGATGTTACAGATGCTCAGCTGTTTTGTGTGTTGTGTAATTGCTTATCTGTTTTTTTTGTGTTGTGCGATTGCTTACCTTTTTTGTGTTTTGTGCGATTGCTTACCTTTTTTGTGTTGTGATTGCTCATATGTTTTTTTGTGTTGATTGGAAATCAATATTTTGTTGTTGTGTGTGTTGTGTGATTACTCATCTGTTTTTTTGTGTGTGTGTGATTTATCAACACCTGTGAAATATTTTGTAAAATCTGTTTTTATATGAAACAATACATGAATCATTGTTTATTTAATAAGGTAGAATACAACTAACCCAAACATTCTGTGTGTTCTTTAAAGGAATACATTATGTGTTGGTTGCACTCATGGCTCAGAAGGCAGAGGTTAAGTTTGATCCAGCTTATATCATGCCATCTCAGATAGCAAATGCTATCACAGAACTAGGCTACATGTCTTCAGTAATAGAGGATGTTAGCTCAGGTCAAGGAGAACTTGAGCTAGAGGTGAGTGTGACATGTCTTTAATAACTGAATTACTAGGCTATAAATTGACTCATTAATATCAAATGCAGTTGGCAGTGAAATATATTTAGATTACTGAGATTGAAAAAATAGACCTGTAAGCAACACAGAAATATGTCTTTTACTTAAATGCCCATATAAATGTGTGTGTGTGTATAAAACAGAGAAAAGGTACAAAGAAATGTCATCTTCTTAAAGAATGTAGCATTATCTAGAGGTTTAACCACCAACATCGTCAATAGGAC